CTATCACCACCCTAGTTTTGATTGCTTTCAATTGTGGAATTTCATTTGTATATTGTTTTATTCTAGTCTACCGTAAGTAACTAGTCTCATTTGGTTCTCTGTATGAGCTTTCCAGGACAGTGTCTGGAAGATCAATATTTCCTATAATATCTAAAGGGAAAACAGACATTAGAATCCAATGAAGTGGCATTATATATGAGCAAAATGAAGCAAGAATGAGATTTGTTAATTTTTTTTGTAATTAAGAATAATTTCAGAATAACTCTGAAAAATGGATTTGTGCCTCAGAAAATGTAATGCAGAATAACTGATACACTTCAGTATTATTTGTTCATATTATGTAGCAAAAAATGCTTGCTTCTGTATCTTGTAAACTATTTCATTTTTTAATGTTTTAAAAAAATCATTTCACTTAGAATGCCATACCCTTCCAGTTAAATATGGTAATCCTCCAGTTACGACAGTTCACTTAGCAACCATTTGAAGTTATGACATAACCCACCCAAATACTCACAACATAGTTCCAAAGTTACAAATGTTGCAGCACCATCGCAGTAATTCACATGGATGACCACAGAGACACTGCAACATTCGCCCTGCCTATTTACCCCTCCCACTGGGTCTCCACAGGCATTGGGTGTGTGGAGACTCACTTCCTTGTGATGAGTAAGCTGTTGGTTCCTTTGCCTGCTTTGGTGCATTCGCGGAGAACAGCGGCCTAAAGTAGTGCAATATCAGTAGTGTGAGATCTTGTGATAGTTATCTCACATAATCTTGCACTACAGTAGTTTAGGCCTCTGTTCTCTGCAAACTGAGGCCTGCATCAGATCCGTGGCAAAAGCCTTTTTCCATGGATTTTGTGCAGGTCTCTAGCTGCTGAGAACAGAGGTCTAAACTACTGTAGTGCGAGATCAGCGCACGAGATCACTACAGTACTTTAGGCCTCTGTTCTCAGTGAACCAAGGCCTGCATCACATCCAGCCCAAGAGCATTTGCAAGTCAATGAAACTTTGGGGCAATGAAATTACATTGCTTCAAACCTCCCATTGGCTTGCAAATGCTTTTCACGCTGAGACTGGAAGCTTCTGTGGGCCGTGATCTCATGCGCGATTAGTGAATGCCTGGGTGAAAGCAGGGAGTTTGTTGTTTGTTTTATGTGATTTGTTTTATGTGATTCACTCCAACATATCCTCAGGTTGCGAATGGAATTGGCAGGCTCCATTACATTCATAGCTGAAGGATTACATGTACAATTGAAGATAAAGATTTAAATACATTTGGCAATATTGTGCCAAAAATGTATACTATTCTCACTTTGGTTTAAAAAGCCTAGAAATGAGACCGTTTTATTTATGCAGATCTGCAAATATTTTTCCCAAATTGTAAATAAGTAGCAAAACTTAAAATATTTTTGTACTATCTTAATATTACAGTATATTTCCACAATATTTACTTGTTAAAATATATTATGCATCACATTGTTGAATGTACCTTTACAGAATATCTGAGATGTATTTCCTGTTTCTATTAAAAATGCACAAGGTAAAAGCTGTTATTAATAGCCAATATTATTTTTCTCTATTATAGAATGCATGCAGTGGAACGGAAGTTGATCTTTCTGTACTAAATCAGACTCGCAATATAGTGTCTGAACTTCTGTCTGATCCAGTCCTTCCTCCACATGTGGTTTCTTCTCTTCAAAGCATCAATAACTCACTAAGTGCTTTCTCAGGTTCATGCAGGCCAAAGACTAACCTGTTTACTCCCTTTCCGGGGTTTTATTCCTGTCCAGAAATGGAAGAGTCACCTGAAAGAGGAGACTGTAAGCTGCACAAGGTTAAAATATTACCATTGTAATCAATATATAGCATGTACATAACATTTTTAAATACCTCCCAATGTAATAAAGTACTTGGTGCTTAAAGTGTTCCTGAATTTCTCTTCTATTCCTCCTTTATTTTCACATTATTTCATTAGAATTTAATCAATAATAAGGAGAAAACGTATTCCAACAGCAAATTGTTTACTTATACTACTCATCACGTACCTTGTTAACACCTTTTTACTTTAAAGAATGGAAACTGTCACTAGACATTAGTGACATGATTTTAAAGGAGACTAGATTGACACCTTGGAAGAAGCAGAAACATTGGAAGAAAATACAACTGCAAATAAGCTTCTTGAATATGAACTCTGGATTTTAATAAGCACAAAGAAATGATACAAGAATTGCAGGAGAAGCTAATAGGAAAAAGAGCTTATTGTATGTGCTTTAAAAGCTATACTGAAAGCACAATTGTGGACAATTTCAATTATGAAAAAAATGCTTGCAGAAGAAGCCAAAGTGGCTGTAAAAAAATAAAATAAAAGGATGATCTAAATGGAAAAAATGGCAGGTCATGAAAGAAAAATAAATTGGTCACTTTAGAATTTCATAAGGATGAATGAGATAGTCAAGGAATGTTTTAAAACCCAGCAATATAAACTTCTTCAGGAATTTTTAAATAAACAGAAGATAAAATAAACCTATTGCTTAATGAAAATAACAAAATGCTTATAGGTAATGAAAAACAGAATTGCTTAATTCTACCTAGAGCACTGATGATGTTACCTAGTTTGGGCAATGAAACATCTTTAAGAAAGCAAGCAAACTCACAGAGCACCAAGGACCCCTCATGTCAACCCTGAACTACAAATATTCTTTGTTAGAATTGCTGAACTATTATTTGCAGTAAAACTGATAACTTTCCACTCTTACTAAAGTCTTAGTTTAAAGTTAAACTGCCTAAGAAATAAACTTTCAGTTACTATAGCAGGCCTTTCAATCAATGTTGGAGATAGTGTTGTCTCAAGTACAATATTCAGAATATTCAGCCTTCAGAAAAGCTGTTAAAACCTGGCTGTTCCGGCAGGCCTGGGGCTGTTGACCTTATTATGTAGGNGGTGCATCTTATACTCTGAAAAATACTGTAAGATTTAATCTATGGGCTGAATCTTCCTCTAATATGCCCTATGTGGGCTAGATGAAATCATAATCACATAATCTTTGGTGCTAGAACTCAGTCACATCCGTTCAAGAGATCTACAGCTCTTGAGAGAACCACTTCAAGCAATAAAAGTGCTTGACATCATTCCTTTCATATTGTTGGGCTTGCAGGTGTTTATCCAAAGAATCAAGAAGTAAAGCTCCTGTGATCTTTCTACTTCAGAAATGTTACAGAGCGGCTGAGATGATCATTTTGCAGACACTTGAAGCTCTTGTTGCAGGCAGAAAGACCAGGTGGATTTATGAACAAAGTTTCACTCAAGGTCTTGTGAAATGAAGCAGCATGACCAATTCTGAAATGGCTGGGATTGTAGCTCTGTTGCAGTAGCATATTTTGTTTTGTTTTTGTTATTTCTTACCTATTAATATTTTCATCACCTCCTAAGCCATATCAACCTGTTCTTTACATCTATAAAACATCTATTATTGGAATATGGTTGCCTTTTAGTCATTTATCTTCTATCATGGAGGATAGATAGCACTTTGTTAACTCTATCATCGGTTCTCTAGGCAGGAGAACCGTGTCTTTTGAAATTATTCTCATTTTCTTAACTTTCAGAAAGACAAAAAGATCTCCAACATCCTTTAAAGTTGATACTTTTCAAATCAGATGTTCTTAACATCCTACCAACTTTCAGTGTGGAAATAATTTAAAATTGCTGCACCCTTTTCTTTATTTAAAGGCCAGCAATTTGGTACCCACAAATCAGTGGTGGGTTTCAAAATTTTTTAGAACCAATTCTGTAGATGTGGCATGCTTTGAGGGAGTGGCTTGCTGGCCATGTGACTGGGTGGGAGTGGCTTGCCAGCCATGTGACTGGATGGACGTGGCCAACTTGTAAAAGGTGGTGAAACTCACTTAACAACGCTCTTGCTTAGCAACCAAAATGTTGTCTCAGAAACTCTGGNGATACCCTTCTGCCATTCTAAAAGATTCTAAAAGAATCTGCCATTCTAAAAGATTCTAAAAGAATCTGCCATTCTAAAAGATTCACATCTTTTTAAAGTATAGGTAACATTTGAAAAAGAAATAAAATTTTTGGTAAGATGTTCATTTTCACTGCCGCTATCCTACCCAGCAAGGATAGGTGCAATTTCTCCCATTTTTTCATCTCTGTCTGTATACTCCGCCATTTTTTCAATGAACATTGTTCTGCGCATGTCCAGAACAGAAAATCAAGATGGCGCTGCCGAGGATAGAACCGGTGTGGTCACGTGTCCGCCGGAGTTACTAGTGATTCGTCCGAACCGGTCCAAACCCGCCTCTATCCCACCCAAAGAAACATAATTCTATTTGTTTATGATTTATTAGAAGTCAACAGAACTTATAATGTTATCTAAACTGTCTATAAAATGTTGGACTGGGACTAGGAAAACTCAAGTTTTAGCCCACATCAGCCATGAAAGATTTCTAGGTGACTTTGGATCAGTCACTTTCTCTCAGCCCATTTTTCTCAGCCTACTATTGATGTTGTTCTGAGGGGAAAATGGGTAGAAGCAATGCTATGTGCCACCTTAAGTTGCTCAATGAAAGCTGAGAAATATATCTAATAAATAAATGCAATCATTTATAATCCTTTTCAATGTTAATTATTATATTTGAATACCCTTTGTATTTGTAATGTCGGATTGTCTTTTAATTATTTAATTAAATTGGTCATTTTAATTGAAATATGTTTAGTAAATTAAAGAGAAAATAGCTTTGTGCTCTGTACTCTTTTTTTTTTTACACTCAAGTACTCTGATCCTTATTTAATTCAGAAGTAATAATATAATTTTGTTTGTAAATGCATCTTTGTTTCTTCTCCCTTCCAAAATGTTATAATTGAAGCAGGGGTGAAATTCAGTAGGTTCTGACAGATTCTGGAGAACTGCTGGTGGAAATTTTGAGTAGTTCAGAGAATACCATCTCTAGCTGGCCCCAAAGTGGGGGGGGGGAATAGAGATTTTGCAATATCCTTCCCCTGCCGCACCCACCAAGCCACGCCCACAGAACCAGTAGTAAAAAAAAATGCATTTCACCACAGGGTTGGAGGCACAAATATGTTGCTTGGCGGTAAATGCAAGAATGACAAAATAACAATATTCCTTTCTGGCCTGTATTTAAGATGTCTGCCACCTGTGTGTCATGACAAGAGGGTTATAAACATGTATATGAAAGAAAGATAAGGTTTCCTCCTGTGAACTGGGGTCCTTGTCCATTCACAATGACTGCTGTTGGGAACAAGTAGTCAGGAAGACACCAGATACCAGCTCCTGAAAAACATGAGTGGCTTTGATGAATAACTTCGCTTCACAGGGATTGCTGGCTTCTTCTTATGCTTGAACAGGGTTATATGAAAACAATTATATTAGCAATATTAAAAGAATCAAAAACCTCAGCCCTAAGAGACATAGCATTGGCCATTAAGTTCAATCTTCAGTAAGATGTTGCTGCTTTTGCTTCTGTTGAGATTTTATTTGCTATTCCTACTTAAAGAACCCTAGGATACTTTCTTCCAACCTAATTCCTAGTGTAGGTGACCAGGGAAGCCATATGACCAATTTCCATGGGAACCACAGAAACGAAAGCTTGGAGCTGAATCATCACTGTGAACTGAAGAACCTTTGCTCCAGAATTGATTATAAGAGATTGCCCAGGAAATATCTGGAGAGTTGGCTTCTCTCCTCCTCCAGTTTTCTCTGGGAAAATATTAAAGTTGTATTCATAATTGCCATCAACGACTTGCTCAAGCCTTTCCTAGACATAAATGTACCAGATCACATTATTTTGGCATTTAGTGGAAACTAGAGGTTAATCTATTGGAGAGAGATTGACTTTATATTTCTTGCTTTGGGTAGGGGGATTAGATTAAAATTGGAGTTAGCAACCCGGGTGATTTCCATCAGCCCCAACCAATTAGCTAATTGCAAACAATTGTGCGAGCTATATTCCAAATGATTGTATTCCAATTCTGTTGTCCCTGGACTAGATCTTCAGTCTTTTGCTGAATGTATCAAAGAATCTCACTGCTGCTGTATGTTCCAGAAGGGAAACTGCCATTAAACTTACAAGAAAACCTTGTCGTCATTGACATATTAGGATTTGTTCTTTACTCACAAACCAGGATAGCCCAGGGCATGCAGGCTCCATTTGGCTTCCCTTCCAGGGTTCCACAGCCACCCTCTTATCATGATGATGCACGTTTTTCATTCACTGGGAGTGAAAGCATGGCACAACTCCCAGCACCTTGTACTACTGCCAAGACAAAATGAAAGACCAAATGTTTAAACTCATGTATATAAGCCCCTTAAGAATAAAGCAAAAGTGATTTGGGAAGGGAGAAGGGAGAAAAGTGGAAAAGCTCTGGATGTGCATTTTTGAAGGGAAAAGAAAAGCTATATGGAGGGGAATAAAGACATATACGGATGCTCTGCCTAGTTCAGCTGGAGGGCTTGGCTCCCTTGAATGTCCTCAGTCCTATCACAAGAGCCAAGGACACAATGAACTGTAGAGAACGTTCACTAACTTGACTACTGGGCCAAAATATATCCTCTGACTCTGACAGGCTGTCAACTCTGTGATATTTGGCCCTCCCACTGACATTGCTCATGTAGCTGACAGCTTTCAGCATTCAGATTTGCCTAGTTTTGCTTTGCTTACTTGGAAATAATAGATTAAAAACTTGGAACTAAATTGCAGAACTGGAGGAGATGAAAAACTCACGCTACGTTGCAACTGCCATCACCCCTTTTGGCTAAATGCCCAGTTGGTTGTTCAGATAGCATAAAATATATTCCTCTCAGCTATGAAGAACATTCACAAGGATCGTTTAACAATTAATAAGGTTATTGTACTACAAAGAATGGAAATTGTGGCCTAAATATAACATGGAGCCATTTTACATCTGCTTTCAGCTAGCCATTTTAAGAGTGTTCTTATTTGCTTCTATCATTTTCCATGTGAGGCAATGCTTCTTTTACTTTTCCGGATATGAAATTAAACCTTGTAAAACTGATTGATTGGAGTGACTGGATCATTCAAATATTCATTTGCAGAGGGAATAAGAGAGATGTTCAGTGAGGGAACTTAATTAGATACACTAGATTTAAAACTCAGAAGATTTAAAACACTGAGTCTGGGGAACTCAGACACAAAACAGGTTAGGCAGAAAATAAACATAGGGTCAGTCAAAAAGGACTCAAATCCCTATATACCAATGCACAAAGTTTTGATGAATAAACGGGGTGAACTAAAAAAATCCAAGTACATGAGGATAGGAGGGTAGATAAGATATTGTTGCCATTTCAGAAACTTTGGTGGGATGAAACCAATGAATGGAATATACAGCTTGAGCCATTTAAATGGTTTAAAAGAAACAGGCTTAATAAAAGAGGAGGTGGAGTTGTGCTATATATAAGGAATAACATCTCTACAGAAACACAACAGAACAATGATGAAAACCATCTTCAATGCATTTGCTGTATAAAAGAAAAAAAGAATGACATTGTCATAAACATATACTACAGGGCACTAACCAAACAGAGGAAATAGATGAACTTTTTGCTAATCAGTTAACTAAGATATCTAGGAAGCAAACCACAATAGTTATGGAGGACTTAACTACCCTGAGATCAACTGGGGGAAAAACTCTGCACCTAGTGGAAGATCAGATTCCTGACAAACTAGCAGACAACCTTTTCTCCCAAAAGATAGAAAAGGGAACTAGAAGGTCAGCCATACTGGACTTAATTTTCACTAACAGAGAAGAAATTACAGAAAACTTGAGGGGGAGTGACCATACAATTTTGGAATTCAACATTATTCAAGCACAATTAACAGAACAAAGTCAAACTAGGGTCTTTAAACGAGCTGATTTCAATAAATGTAGAGAGAGCTTGGGAAGGATTCCATGGATGAGAATCCTCCAGGGGAAAACAATCCAAGAAGCTTGAAAAACTTTGAAAAGTGAGATTATAAAAGCCCAGTCTAGCACAATTCCAATGAAGAAGAAAAATAAGACATCTCATGGCTTCACAAAGAACTCTGATAAACTGAAAGATGAAAAGGACAAGTATAAAAAGTGGAAAGAATGGCACATAACTAAGGCAGATTATCTGGTAAGACTTGTGAGCTTTGAAGGTCATTAAAAGGCAAGCTTCAAACTGATAATGTTGGCACCATACACTCTGGAAATGACTTTGGAAGCCATAGATAGGACATGGACACAGAATACTCATATATCAGTGGTGGGTTGTAGGCGGTATGCCCCTGTACGGGCATACCAGATACTGCCCGGAGCACCAGGTACCATTCTGGTACGATGCTCCGGAGGACCCACCCACCCATCCATGCTCCTTACCTGTCCTTACCATACAGCGCCTGTGCAACACTCCGCCAAACAGCAGAAGCTTTGCAGAGGCTTGTGGAAGCATCACTTGAAGGTAAGCTGCATGCACGCACTGCGCACATGTGCACGTGTGCCACACGTGTTCATGTGGAGGACGCCAGGCCCCGGAACCCACACTGCCATATATCTGGTAAAACCTTATTTGTTTCATATGCTTGTATTCAAAGAGAACATCCCTGAAAGAGATCACTATCCTATTATATCAAAGATAATGTTGCTAATCCTTCTCTACAATCAAGGTTTCTCATGTGCAATTCCAGTCTTGACAAGGCAGTTCCAAGAAATGCAATATTCCCAACACTGAATTTCCTACTTCAAGGAGGAAAAGAAATAGCAAAGATCTTTCCGCCATGCAACTACTAAAGGTATCTAAAGGCTGAAACGAAAGAGACCTGACACAGAGACATGCAACTACTCTGCATAGTCTATGTCAACATTTCTGGATAAAACAACATCATTGTTTTGTGACTCCCAAGGTAACATTCTAAATGTTGCCAAATTCTTAAGGAACAAAAATACATTAAGATTAGGAAGAGAATGTCATATGACAATGATGGATGTGTAGATGGGGGTGGAGGGAAGGGGCAGAGTGAATATTCAGATGGAAAAGCAATGCAAACTTACCTTCAGTTCACTTTAAAAGCCTAGTAAATCATTACACTTTTTATTATTTACCTGGAACAAAATTCCCTAGTGGAGGAGGGGATACACAACTCCGAGGGCACATTCTTTGTATTTTTTTCCCAGTGGCTTGTTCAGCACTTTTCCTGAAACTCAGAACAATCCAAACTGATATATTAATAAATTAGAAATATCATAAAGTTAGATTTTGCCTATCTGATGGGCTTATTTTCTAAGGCTCAAGGTGCCAATGCCAGGTGGGAATTTTGAGAAAGGAGGTAATTCTCACACAGCTTGAGGAAGACAAAGGTTGCATTTACACCTGGCCAGAAGGTTTAATCATCTACTATTTCCAAACATTGCAAGCTAACAATCTGCTGTGTCTGAGATCATAAAACATATCACAAAGTGGAGACAGAAGAATTGGGGCTCAGTTGACCAGAGCTTATCTTTTCAGAGTTGCAAGCTGGTTGGGAAATTTTTGTCCAGTTTTGCAAATGCCTCTTAAAGCAGCTTTTCTTTCTCCTTTCTCCCCCCCCCCCTTTTATTTGTGACTTTTTTTTTGTTGAGAAAACAGGCATCCACAGAGAATTTTGCTCATAACTTGAATGAGCAGGTTAAGGTAACTTTAAGTTTAAAAACTTCAAAAGAAGCAGGCAGAACCCATTTGTGTGAAGAAAAGGTGAATAAAATGCTGTTGTTGGTTATTTCCCTGAAGTGTTTCTGTAGCTTTTGTATAGATAAGGCAGAATTTGTCACTTCCCTGAGCACATCAACTTAAAAAAAAATCAAGGATCTATTAAAATGTTAAAGCTGCCATTGGATCTTTATTTTCTTCTCTCCAGCAAGCATTCACAAATCATTTCCATTCAGTGATTATTTCAACCAAATACAACTTGTGTTCTCTCTAGTAGTCCCCTATCTGTAAAATGGGAGTGTAAATATATTAAAGATAAGAAGGTGTTCCAGTGTTTTCAGACTGGATTACATGCCTAAAGTAGCTGGGTAGATCTAGATGAGATAAAAATTATCTGCTGTATATTATTTGTTAAAAACGCATGCCATATTTGCTGAAAATCATGTTCATTTAATGAGTTTCATGTTCATTGGTTCATTGATTGTTCCAAACTGCAATATATATTTTTCCTTTTGGAAGTACTTCTGGTCTGGAAATGACACATTTATTTTGTCACTGCATTGCTCTGAATGGGCAATTATAATTATTATCGTCTGAACACTTCTTCATGCTTGAAAATACAAGCTACAGATTTTGAACATAAAGGTCCTTTTGAGTTTAAAAAAATATTTTTTGTTCAATGAGGCTGCTCTGATCATTCTGCATGGGTTCCAAACCCAAAAACAGTTCTGCAAATGGTTGGACTAAATAAATATTTTGAAATGAAGTGTCTGAATCTGAAATATTTTGCACGCTTCTGTGCATGCAATTTGTGATAAAAATTGCTATTTTTATCCTTTTCAAAAAGTGTGGCCCTCTGGGGGCCTGCTATGCTGCCTTGATGAAAATAATGTTTCAAGATCTCTCTTGATTGGTTCATTACAGCATATGCTCAGAATCTGTGGTTGTCATCAATTTACAGTGCAAATAGAATCAAAAGTACAATAAAATACTATTCAACTTTAAAATAAAAAACAAGCAATAAAATTATTTGGATAATAAAATAATGGAGGTGGCATCCATAGCACCAACTTTACACTGCAGTGTGTTATAAATCAAAACCCTCTGTTAGATTTTTTCCCCAAGCTTTTCTAGTAGGATGCCAAGATGGGTGCCAACCCATTTTTGGATGAAGTTGTTCTGCAGGGATGGGAGCCACCATAGAGAAGCACTTTTATCTCAAGAATAGATGGAATAGTTAATAAGCCACCTGTGCATAAAGCAGGCCCCTTTCACTTGGAAACCTATCACAGGTGCAATGTGGCCGCAACAGTTCTTTTTCCTTACACGTGGGCTGCTAATTTTGCAGGAATTGCAGTTCCAGAGTAGTCTTCAAATGCAATCTCATGTAAGAAGTATTTCAATCCTCTAATGATGATATGCATGATGAATTGTCAGGACCTTCCATTGTAGCTAGTTCTGCAACTGGTGCACTTATTGAAGCTGAGGACAGAAGTCTTCCAACCAAGGTTTTCACCAGCAAATCCAGCATTATCAGTGAGTTTAGGAAATTATGGACTTACTTCTTCGGGGAAATGCCACCCATCCAGA